GGGTATGGTCATAATATACGAGATACCGATACACAAATGAAAATAAACAATTAACTGTGTTGGTAATAGAAAGCAATTTTCTATTCAGTTATTTGTTATCTAGAGATATTTATAATTTTAGTACAGATCTGGTTTTAAATATTTTTTCTATTTATAGACGGGACGACATAGTGTCATAATGTCGTGGTCAACACATGGCACACACACATCGGTATTGTGTAATTTTCATCCGAAGATTGGTGGCAGTTTTCATAGAAAAAAACTAAAACATTTAATCAAATTTGAAAAATTTTAGACAATCAGTGATTTAACTTGGGATGACTACTGCTTGAATTTTTATTATGTCAGATTTAGCATGTTTAGCGTGGATGAGTGTTCAAATTAAAATAAAGACTCGATACTGACAGCTCGCTTGGGTGTAATCAAAGCTGCACATGAGAGAATTCGCTTGTCTATGTTCATCAATTTATAGGAAATAAAGAGTAAAAACTAAGCTGGGTAATGGAAAATCTGCCCATATAAGCAGCGTTATATATCCAATGCTTAATTGTCATTCTGCTCTCCAGCTACAGTCATGTCTACACCACCGACAAAGAGAGCGCGAGTCGGCATCTAGTTTTTAGCTATAAAAATATTTATTATATTTGAAAAAAAGTGTAAAAGTATTGCTGAAGTACTATAACACAATTAGCCAATGTGTTTGGATTAAGAAGACTTTTGTAAGTTCATAGTTTTATTATAAAGTCACAGCAAAGGTTAGACAAACAATGGTACATGAAGAGTTCAATTATAAATATCTCAGAGCCAAGATGGTGAAAGCTCACATAGTCATTGCATCACATAGGTCTCAGAGCTAAGTTCGTATAAGCTCTCATGGTCTGTCTCGGAGCTAGGATGGTAAAAGCTCTCATAGTTCATCTCGGAGCTAGGATCGTAAAAGCTATTGATACTCAGTGCGCGGATCTTTTGTACAAGAAACTGCATCATAGGGTTCACATATTTGGTAATAGCATTAAGTTAGTTAGAGTGTCACTTCATTAATATTGTCCGCTCCTCACTGAAGCTCTGTCTCCCATCTCCTTATAGGATACGGCAATGTCCTCTGTTTACATTAACATGATGCATCTTGCACATTCTTCAGTTAATTAGATGGCTGCAGCTCTGCACAAAGTCTGATTGGAAGTGTCAATGCTCGAGAACAACACATCGTAAAAACTAATTGTCCGTCAAATGAAGACGCTCCGTTATTGCTTTCTATCTCCCAGAGTTTGTAAACAAGTTCGTAATTAAGATATTATTGTCCGTCGCGTTACACACTGATAGTATCAATTTTAATTCATAACACAATATTAAAACATAGATAAATGTACTGTACAAATTAATATATCAATTAAACTTATAATTTATACGCTCATTGTGTTACAGTACGAAAGATGAGTGTTTAAAAAAATAATTATTTCTAAATGAAAGCATTTTAATATAAGAGTTACAATACAAATTTATACAGTATATTTGGAAGAGAAATCAATAGAATTCAGATATCCGGACGCTTCACTTATCCGGACAATTTGCCTGGGAACCAAAGCGTCCGGATAAATGAGGCGCCACTATATTCGCGGTGACGAGGCTCTCGCGAACCTCGCGAAAATTCCTCGCACAGGAATAAATGTTGGTTTACAGTATTTTCAGGTATGTGACAGTTTTCCCTGCATTTCTACAATTTTTCGTTAGGATGAGGTATTTAATAACCCTCTGTCTTTATACCTTAGAGTTTCATGGTACCGGGTTCGAATCTCGGTCTGGTCCGCTGCATTCTCTCCTCTCCTGTTACGTTTGGTGCTGTGCCATGCCCTGGAACTGACAGTTGATTTACCTGCCAGGTATGAGCCTGGGTTGGGGTCTTTGGAGGTAGGAATATGGCGGTCAGCCGGGTTTGATTGCAGATGACCAAACAGCTCGGTCGGTAGCGCACCTGACAAGAGTTCCATGGGGCCTACCTGTCTGGTCCACTGCATTTTCCCCTTTCCTGTCACAGTAATATTGCATTTGGATAATTATATATTAATCAAAATTAAGTGATGTGAAGATTGTGGAGAACTTGAAGTTCTTCGTTATTTCAACTTGAAATTCGTAATTTTAATTTCGATTGGCCTTGGCTGATTGCAATTGATTCCAAACTTCAGATGTATTGTGGTGGTCGGGCAAGTTCACTCGCTGTTGGTTAGATAGCTCAGCTGGTAAACCACCTGACTAGTGCCTTAGGAGGCTAGAGTTCAAATTCTTACCTGGCCTGTTACATTCCGTTACTTTCGGTGCTGTCCCAAATCATTGAAGTGAGGAGGAAGCCCGGGCTGGGTTGATGTCTTGAGGGAGAACACCTATAAGGAGGGGGATCTGGTGGATAGACAGGCTTGATTGCTGATAGTCAGATAAATAAATTGGTAGAGCGCCTGACTAGTGATTCAGGAGGCCGGGGTTAGATTCCTGATACGTCACTTTTCTTCTTCCCTTTTTTATTTTCTGAATGTGTGTATAAATTACATGTACACAAACAAATGATTACAGAATCTACACACAAACACTACACCCCTTTCACATTTTCTGAGCACAAAAAGGTTACAAAGGATAAAATTTTCATTTCCTAGAATTTAATCATCATTTGGTATTTTTGCCAATAACTGATAACCAATATGTCCTTTTAAACTCATCTGAGCTGAAAACTCAAGTGAGGTTTTCTGATTACCCGTTAATGATTGTAAACATTTCACACTTTGAACATCTTCTCAGGAACCACTCAAACAATTTTAAGGAAAATTGGTACCAAGCTTTCTTAAGTTCTTAAGTGAAGGGGAATTTCAGTTATTAAATTGTAGGACAAAGACCCCGTCATAGGGGAGATGATTAAGACAAGAGACTCACAGGCCTTAGAGGTCACTTGAATATCATACAAAGATGCTCCTACTATTGAATTTAGTTCGAAATTAAAACAGAGGCCATAGAATTCACAATTTTGAAAGAGAAACCATTGCTCAGCATACCTATTCACCTAATAAGCATGCTTACTCTGATTACTCATTACCAAAAAGTAGATCAGAGGAACAAAAAAAAAAAAAATGAATTTCCACCCCACAGAACTCCTGACCCTGGGGCCTAAATGATTCACAAATTTGAAAAAGGCACCCTTGTTCATCATAAATGCTTTCAGTATTCAATAATTAAAGTTCCCACAATACCCCTGATCCAAGGGCCCTGAAATTCACAATTCCAGAAAAGCACCCATCCTCATCATAAGGATATTCTTACTAAAAATTTCTTAGTTGACAGATCACGGTGGCCGAGTGCTGGAGCGTTCGCTTCGTGATCGAGAGGCTTGGGTTGGATTCTTGTTTGCGACGCCGCGTCAGACCTAAGACGTTAACATAAGTAATGACTGTTCTTTCGCCAAGCGCTCGGCATTAGAAATGAAGGTCAGGGTCTTTCGGATTGACCTTAAAAACATAGGTCCCATATTACGACAGGCTTTGACACGATGAATAACTCTCACCAATCATTGGCCTTGAGTGTTGAGTATAGGTCTAAATTTGAAGCCCTTTACCGGCATACGTTGATGTCTCTATATGAGTGAAAATATTCTCGAATAGGACTTTAAACTAAATTATTCTTGGAGGAACATCTTTCCTTATCAAAACTCTTTAAGTGGACTTTTACGGGAAGCACTTACTTTTTCAGTTGACGCTTTACTTTGACATTGAAACCTGTATCATGTAAGGAGGTACAGAATTGATAATACATCAGAAAACCTTTCTAGTGGCCATAGGTATGGTGTAAGGGGTATTTGCATGTGAAGGCCGGGAGTTAATGGTAAGTTGGTTTTGTTTTCTTCAAGGACAACTTATATGTGCATTGAAATAACCCGTTATTTTCGTTACATTATATGTTGAGCTAAATATTTCTATCGTAAACGAGCTTCCATACATTTTCCAAGTGTAAAAGTCAACTGTAAAAGCCAGTGCTCCTCGTTAAAGTCCAGAAGAAAACGGATATTGGCATTTGCGAATTTACGGATCATCCTGGATCCCCAGCTATATAAATTCAATGAATTTCTTATACGGCTGTAACAAATTACGGATATAGAGAAGAAATTTCAAAGGTCCCTGTGACTTCGTTATAACCGAAGTTTGCTGTACACAGTTCTTTAGTTTAATTTCGATTGATTAATTCATGTTGTTTAACGTCCCTCTCGAGAATCTTTTACTCATATGGAGACGCCACCACTTGCCGGTAGAGGGCTACAAATTTTGTCCCTTGCTCGGCACTCAAGGCCTTTGAGCAGTGAGAGATCTTTTTTCGTGCCAGCACCTACTGCGACACGGGGCCTCAGTTTATACGGTCTCATTCGAAGGACAAGTCTCCATGTCCCGCAGTGGGATTCGAACCCACGACGCAAGGATTAACTCCTTACTTCACGACTCTAGAGCAGACGCCCTAACCACTGCGCCACGTGGGGGACAGTTTTATATTGAGGAGCAGAGAATAGAATTTATAAACAATTCAAGAAAACAATCAGCCTGGGGCCATGAATTTCACAATTTTTGCATAGGAGTCGACGCATATTGAAATCATGCCAACAGATTGACTGCTTGATGTCCAGGAGTAAAGAGGAATTTGTTTTAAAGATAGCATTTATTTTGGTGGGTTTAGTCCTCCACACAGGCCCCAGGGGTTAAGGACCTATAATTTCATCATTTAATTCCCTTTAACCTCAGAGTGTACATATATATATTATAAGTGGTTCTGTGATTCCTAAGAAGCTGAAAATGTTCAAATGTTAACGCACATTGCATTACCACGAACAAAAACGGATAGCAATATGTCACGTAGGTGACCTATACAAAGGTAATGAATATATATATTGTTCAGATCATACTTTGTAAAATTGTTCATGAAATTAGTTATCTGTTTCAATACTGCTTGTTGGCTGCATTTATTTCCTCTATTCATTCATGTAGTAGTACTATACGGATAGTTCACAAGATATGCTGTCATTCTCTAATATATACAACACAGTCTATGTTTATTTCATGTACTGAATCACTTTAATTTCTCCTGAATCCATTAATCCTACCCACAACCTTCCTCCACTGTCCAAACTCAATCCATTAGGCTTATCTAATCCACAATTGCCAATACATCTCAAGAACTGTCCATTCTGATCAAGAATGTGAAGACAAGCATTATTATTATCTACCACAATGATCTGACTCATTGAGTCTGTCACTATATATCTAGGACTAAATGCTCTCATGGCTTGTGTACCATCGTATCGGAATCGGACTCTTCCTGTCTTGTCCATCACGACCACAAATTCAGCATTACGATCAGAGACACAAATGTCGCCATTATTGTTCTCTGCCAGGTATAATACAGAACTCCCTTTAAAAATTGGATTTCCATGTTCATCATTATAAATTTCCTGGTTCAGTTTCATCCCATGATAACGTAGTATTTGGTTTTGATTCTTACTACTAACATTGACCAGTATGTCCCCTGACTTTGTACAACACATTCTCTTTGGTATCCAGCCTTGTGATATGGTGAACAGTACCTCTGTTTTGCCACCTCTGACAATGTTCACTGTATAATTGTTATAATCAGAGTATATCAGTTCTCCCTGCCTGGTCAAAGATATGTCATTAGGACCGAAAAGACACCCCGTCGTAAAAGATTCCTGTACAGACCCATGTATGTCAACACGTCTTATAACTTCGTCTGTTCCATTTACCCAGGCTTCTTCTGTTCCTACACAGGCCACTCTCCATAAAGATTTTAATCCTGTAGGAATGGTGGCTATCACTCTGGCTTTGTCTAATAACACATTCAGAGATAAATGGGGGATTTCATCTGTCAGGCTGGATAATGCTCTCTGTGTTAATGTAGCCTTGTATTTCCCTAATTCTATGGTACGTTCTCTCCCTCGGACAGTTCTTGTATTCAATAAGGGAATTTTGCCATCAATATAAGCAGGTATGTATCTGTATTTCGCCAGTTTGGATTTGTAGTTGTTGACTTCAGACACTCTGTTAGTCTTCAAGATTTCTTTGTTTTGTTCAACGGTTTGCAGCATATCTGGAATAAGATTTTTTAACTTGGATTGGTGAGATTTTAAAGAAGTGAGAAAACTTTCTCTCATAGACTTGATCAAGGAACCGAGTTTGCTGAAGATGATATCTACTTCTTGGTGCCATAGTTTTCTGTGCTTTTCTGTTTCTTTTTCCAGTTCATCAAATTTAGCGGTTGATGTGGATATTTTGCCCGCAATATCGTCCATTTTCTTCCTGTACTTGGGAAGAATGTTGGATTCGATTTCTTGGTTTTCTTTTTCAATTTCATTTTTCTTTTCATTGAAAATCTCTTGTATTTCCACAATCTTGTGTCCACTATGGGAACTGAGAATGCATTTCAGACAGACTTGGACATCACACTTTTGGCAGTGGGCCTCACATCTTTGGTTTGAGTGAACCTTACACTCAGGAAACACTGGTTGTATCTTCCTGTTGGTGAAATGAACAATGTCGTGTGTTTGAGACTTGAATTTGTCCACATGTTTACTGACACAGTCCACACATAAACTGACTTGACAGTTATTACAGAATTGCTTGGTAGGTTTATCACAAAGATCACAAGTGATGAGCTCTTGTGCCCAGGAAGTGGGAGTGGCCATTGCCTTTAGTAAAGACTGCAATTATAATTTGTATAAAAAAAAATAAAAATAACATATGGTAGACGTATTTCAAACATCAACTGCTAAAACTTTGTTTGGACTGCGAAGTAAAACATTTGATAAATCAAGAGTTCTTGCAGTAAAGATTTGGCCTACACTGAAATAATTTTTAAAGGTATTTATACATGTAATGATAAACTGTAAAGAAAATCTGTATAGAGTTATACCTGTTTAGTTCCAACATTTCAAATCTAAAGGTTAAAAAAGAGTATAAGCATCTCATCTCCCTTTCTCAATTTCACCTAAGTGGGAACTACTTTCGGTTTGATATTTTATTCTTCCTGGTTTTAGATTGGCGTTGCCTGTCTCAGTGAAATGTGCGATATGCGTATACATGTATTTTCGTAAGATACGAAAAACAGGCCGTACGAGTCTTCCTAGTTACCTATCTATCATGTCATGTGTTTGCTCATATTTATTAGTGATCCGTTTGTATTCTCACCAGGTAGGTAGAACTATCGGAAAATTTAAAAGGTTATATTTCTCACTATATTTACCTGATATATGGTGCTAATATTTAGAAATAGTCATATCCCCCATCAATGAAAAAAAATGTTTGACAGAAACACATGTATCTGATAAATCATTTTTCTTTCTTAAACAAAAGTAGATTAGTCCTAGTGATAACAATTGAGGAAACTTGATATAAACTTGCAGGTAATTTTCACAGTTAGACTATTAGATGAGTTTAATTACAAATTAGTACCAATATAACAATGTCATTTAAATTTTCACTATATTCTCTTGCTACGGCAGTGAGTATTAATGTTAATAAATGATATTCTGTCATATTGTGTAACTTTCTATATCTGTTATTCAATGATTTTTTTATTAAGTGCAAAAGCTTTAACTTCAAACCTTACATAGCTTTGTAGAAAATATGCTTAACTTCTCTTATTTGACAATCAACTATTTGGAGCTCAATCCTTGGCAATACATTGTACCTTTATTCGAATCATTCGATTGTCACTACTGTAAACAATGTCATGTGCCCCAGAAATCTTGTAAGATATAGAGCTGTCTTGGCTCCCTAAAAAAAGTTTCGATAGTAAGTTAGATATCTGCAAGGTACTCGCGATATAACATATTGATCAAATGTGTTAAACCAATTTATTTACAGATTTACTTACTTGACCATCACTAAAGAATCACTTCTCCAGTATCAAGGGCTCAGGATGTCATCACGTGTGACCTTTGTGACAACTCCACCAAGCAATTTTTAACAACTATAAAGCCAGTAGAAGAATGTATCAACAAACACATTAAAAATACAGATCGTTTACCCATGATATCGTTCCTTTCCAAAACGTAGACATAGAGCTAGTTTTCTAGAATGTGAAATTCCAATCAGAGATGTGAGGTCTATTGTGAACAGTGTGATGTTCCTGTCTGTATGAAATGTGTTTTAACTTCCCATAATGAACACAGGGTAAAGGATATAAACATCATTTTTAATGACAAACGAAAAGAAATGCAGAAGGAGACAAACCAAATCGAATCCAGAATTATTCCTATATAAAAGGAGAAAAAAGGAAAACACAAAAAGAGAAATAAGTAATTCTCTGAAAAAATATGAACTAGAAAAAGAAACAGGGGAGCACAGAAAATTGTTGCATAGAGAAGAAGACAGTATTTTCAATAAAATAAATGTTGACCAAATCATTTAGAGGAGACTACGAAACTGAATTGAAATCACAGGTATCGATACACAAGAATTTTAATTACACAAATGATCAAAACAGTTCAACAAAACATTGAAGTACTGAAGTCCAACAAAGTGTCGGACGTCACAAACTATACATCCAAGTTGTCTGAATACAAGAATATCCCTGAAGACGCAGATATGGCTATTCCTTGCTTAATGCAAACACGGTCCTTGGGAGTGAACTTAAAATAGAGCTAGGAGATTACATAGCTACCTTAAACCAGAGATTACTGTCAAGTGTGAAGGATGAAGGCTCAAAGTCTTCTTTATGTACAAGATAGTCGATAAAGAAGGCAAGAATTATTGCCACCATTCGTACTGGAGTTAGTTCTTTGAGTAGAGTAGCCCGTGTGAGTTCTAATAAAGCTTGGGTTTGTGGAGAAGAAAGAACTCTAAGATGTGATGATACACACGGAACTGTACATGATACTGTCACCATCACGTGTAAACTTTGGCCTGATGATATCAAAATGACTAGACAGGGAGAGCTTATATACAGTGATTTTGAGGCTAGCACCGTCAACATCATAAGACAAGGGAAGAAAGAGGTAATGATCACCATACAAAATAGCTGGAAATCATGGGGACTGTGTTGTGCAAGAGCAGGAGATATTCTGGTCAATCTCAGTAGGGAACATCAAACTAAAATTTCCCGCTTTCAAGGACACATTGTGAAACAGGAAATATTTCAAGATGAAAATGGGAGACAAATTTTCAAAACTGATGCGAAAAAACCGCGGAGAACAACAATGAAGACATCTGCGTCGGCGATACTAACGCTAAACCTTGGTAGTTCTCATGAAAACGAGAAGAGTCCGATTCCGATACTCTGGTGGACAAGTTACAATGAAAGAGGCATTTGCTCCAAAGCAGATTGTGACGGACTCTACGGGTCATATCATTGTAGCTGATTACAACAACGATTGCCTTCACATTCTCGATAAAGATGGATATTTGCTTGGACGTATATACGATTGTGGATTGCATAAACCACGTGGACTTAGTATGGATACTTAGGGGAGGTTGAGGGTAGGACTGACTGAAAAAGGAAAAATAAAATTTATTAGTTTATGAAATAAATTTTGAAATAAATCAAGTGATAATTTTGTTGATGTTAAGGGTTTTATGACAATATGTAATAAAGAATCTGTGACAGTATCATTAAATTTTATTCATTGGTATAGGAGGAGTTGCGAACAAGAGAAAGGTACCCTTCATTATTATAGGAAGTATGGCTGTATTTATGTTTTTTTCTGGGAAACCTAAAATGATGTGTCTGATCAAAAGGTAAATAACAGGTGCGCAATGGCACTATGTTACAAAGATTCTTTGAAAGTCTCATAAAATTTCATTCAGTGTGAAAGAGGAGTTGCAGATTAGAGATGCGAAACCCAAAGCATAACGGACGGACAGACAAACAGACAATTCACTATAGCTTTTGTTGTTAATTTCAATTTAGAACAGCATGCACATTCTCGAGTACTTTTCTACTTCTGAAAATTAATGTAATAAATTCTTAAAAATTGTCTTTAACCAAAAAGTAATATTTTTCCAAATGAAACATCAAGAAAGAATATAAAAAGGACAGACCTACATGTATATATGTTATCTAATTGTTTATCTTAATAACAACTACGGACTCTAATATTTCAGATCCTAAAAGATAACAATAACGAAAGTGAAAGTAAAATATTAGTTTGTGCAATAATGGGGCGGTGGCTTGAAAAACAGTTCGGATGATTGAGATTGATTTATGATAAAGGTATAGTTTTTAAATAACTCTAGCCTGCTTTGATCAATATGTAATTTTATGGTAATTTTATGAGTAATTTGCCTGTTCATATACATGTTAATATGTATCTTAATTTTAAAATATACTTTTCATAAAATGATAAATATGTGTACAAATATTTAGTTCCCCTAACAACTAAAAAGAAATAGAAACAAGTCAATGAATTGATGAATCGATAAATATGAATGAAATACGGAAAATGAAAGAAACCAGCCATTTTTAGTAACAAAAGAATTATTCCAGTTATCATTTTGAAAGAAGACACCGGATTTTTTTTTAATTCGGGAACAAACAAAAATAATTTAATTGTTTTGGTAAACAAATGGTAAACAAATGGAGGTTCGTATATTTCTTCGATGTAAGGTTTGTTGTAGTTGTGTGGTACATACATTTAATTACTTATCTTTAATGTACTATATCAAAATATTCTTGCTAAATGGTTTCTCCGGAACACTTGACCTTAACTCCCCCTTCAAACTGAACATCGTTATGATTATTTTAAGGGGGATGCACAAGCCAATTGGATCTAGTCTGGTGTGAAATGAGAAATGCCAAGAATGCGCTTAATACTCGTCTAAACTAGCCCAAAGTTACTCAAAGTGTTAATGCACTAATTACCTACTGTTAGAGACCAAACTTAGTAAAAAAGTTAAGTTTATTTTGTTTTAATTAGGAGGAAATTAATCATTGTAGAACTGCGCAGCTACAGCATTCACGAGATAAAAAATGCATTGAAAATGGTGTTAATGTGATTCATTGATAATATGGCTACAACCATTTGTTTCGCTTTTTTCTTGTCATTATCTAGAATTCTTGAAAATTTGATTTTTCATATGTGTGTCTTCCTGAGGCCATGTGTTTATTTCGTCCGCCATTCCTCTGTCACACAGAGTTCGAATAACATTGATTTTAGAATTAATGCGACCATAAAAACATAAAGACAAGAAATTACTCAGTAATAATCATTAGGTAATATTACTTACTACTTTTATTTGTTGCATCGCTTCGTCTGATTAATGAAAAAACGCGATTTTAACCCCACTCCAGCAAATCGGGAAAAACTGTTCTGCTAACAGCTCGAGTTTCCTAGTAAATATTAATACACTGAGCACGTGTTTGACATGTGCATATATCTGCTGTGGATAGATGCGTTTATTACTATGATTATATTTAATTTTTCGTGGAACAAGTCTTGATAATTTGTTGGTTTCTTTAAAACTCAAGAAAAAAGCTAAAAAATGCCCTAAACATATGTGTTTACGTCGGTCTTTTTTCTGTGGCGATAGAAGTTTTTTGAAATGGGGCACTGCAAGGAGGATGCTTAGCATTTAATTTGAAAATGTTAAACAATATGCGGTGCATGAAAAACAAATTGCAATTACATGTCTTACAATCGAAAAGTTGGTACATACGTCTATTTTGTTTAGCAGTTAGATAGAAAAAAATAGGCAGTTAAAGGATTTCCTTCAGGCACCTCACATAAATAGCTTGATTGTTTGCAATGACCAACACATCGTATGGAGTAATGTTTGGACATAAAAACGCATCATGTCTCATTATGTTGACTACGTTGTAAGCTCTCGATCATTGAACATACGAAGCTTGATAAAATATATAGAGTTGTTTTTTTTTTAATTTAGAAGCAATCACAATGTTTGCAAACAAAGGTCTATTGCATATGCTATGTCTATCATCGCAAAAAAAAAAAAATGAGAGACTACCCCCCCCCCCCTTCCGAAAATCCTATGTTCTTTTTTCAAAATAGTGCCAAAGATTTAAAAAATTGCATTACTAAGTATGTGATGGAACATGTACTAGCCTGATAAGACCATTTGTTGTAAAAATATTTGGTTGCCCTCTCTCCCGATCTACTGCCTAAAAATGGCCCGACTCAATTTTATTTTACATCCAATTACAGGATTTTTTTTTCTTCCGTCAACAAATAAATTTAAATTTTAAGGAATTTTTTCTCACACCATAAATACGGACCCAATAATTTTCCCTGAGTTGGGAGGTCCACCAAACGTCATTTTAAAGATACTATAAAATATTTAATTTTGTTGATTTTTTTCTTTACTCTGTAAAATTGTAATTTTGACAAAATGGGCAAATAGAAAAAAAAATTATTCATTAAATCTCCTAACCCAATCTGAATGAATTTATTCCTTTTCAAATGTTGCCCCGCTGTAATGAAAATTGTAAATGTTTATTTGACAGAGTATTAAGGGGGGGGGGTGATCAAAAGTAAACGATATCTTAGGTATTTGATAGTTATATTATTGTTGAAATATTCAAGTATTTTTCAAAGTGTAAATTGGAGATCTTTGATAGCATATTGCTTAATTAAAAACAAACCCCTTTTCAAATTTGCTTTCACCGGGCAACATAACAAGTATCATATTCAACCATCTCCCTTCCTTCACTAAAACGGTCTATCAAATCATTGATTGAATTATTAGGAAGTCATTTGTCTTAATAAACTATGAACAAATTCTTTTACGTTACTTCAAAGGCAGTTTTAAGATATACCATAATTATTTTAGTCGTTTGTTGAATGAGTTCCACTGAGACAACCATTTTTCGTCACAAGTACCTGCATAATGACTTTATTCTCACATTGTGAGGAAATCTTTATTTGGCATATGCTATTTATAGAACTTGAGTGTGCACCAAATTTGTTTCTAATCTAAATTGTGGTTTTGTAGATATAGAGATAGTTCGAGAACTTTTTGATCACCCCTCGTACTAGTAGATACTAACACAAGGTTTTTCATATCGTTTAATTTCTTTGTGTTTCATTGGTGATAATTAAACTTTTGATAGATATTATAAGTTATCTGTGGCAAACTTACAAACTCTTAATTTTAAACTTTGATGGTGCTCATTTTTCCTTACCTGGAATCAAAAAGTTATTTCAATACGTACACTATTTAACAACTGTTAGATAATAATACTAAATAAATTACTTCAAGCCACACTATAACACAATTCCTCTTTGAAAAGTGTTCATATTATTTGAAATATTTTGCAGCTGTAATTCTCTTCTACATTTAAAGATTGTTATGTCCCTCCATATTAAGAAGAGGTCTGGAAAACAAAATTCTGTGCTAAAAATAGACCACGTGCTGCTATCAATGAACTACTTTCAGAGTTCTTTACACTCTTTTTGAAGACAACGATACCTTGTTTTGAACTTAAAATTATCATTTAAAAGTGCAAAATTTAGACATTTTCTCAACAAATGGTTGTAGAGGGAACATTAATGCACACTTTGCGTATTTTTTTGGATTTTTTAAGGCTCTGCTGAATTCTGTAGCTGCGCAGTTCTTAGGTGCATATCAAAAGCATTTTTCTGCAAAAGTATAGATTATATATGCATGCACAACATGCATTCAGTTATGCATATTTATTGTATCTTTATCATAAGGGTTTAGAATTTGATCAAAATATAATGTACTTTAGCCATTTGAAGAAATGTTTACATTTTGTTCTCACTGCACTAAATATGGCCGTACATCCCCCTTAAGGTAGGTCACTCGTCAGCTTTTTCGAAAAGTTCACGCAGAACCTCTTACTTCAAAACTATTTATCAAAATTCAATTTTAAAACATAGTTAATTTCAATAATGTTAATGTTTTAACATTCAACGAAAAAACTGCACAAATAGCAACAAAGAAGCAAGCTTTGTGAAGGAGTCTATTTTTTGTGGTGGAAAATATTTTTCAGATAGTTCAGCAAATCTGCACATTTGTTAAATTCAATATCTTGGAACTTTAGTCTCACATATTTTCAATCAGAGAATATTTTCCATCATGATATTGCTAGGAATATTTAATATAGATCTTAATTCATAATTCTAGAACAAGTTTTACATCTTCCTTCAACAAATTTTGCCAAAATAATGAAGCTATGTCAAATAAGTCAATATAAAATTTACATCATTTATTGCCTAAAAATCACATATTTTGACCAATATTTCAAACTTAACATCACTTACCCCAGCTTTTTCTTTCATTATTTTAAAGTACTCGATAATTGTGACTGATCAGCACTTCAGTCGTAAAAAGCTTGATTTAAGAAAAATTTTTATTGCCTATTTAGTTTATTAGTACCCCAAATTATATTACTTTTTAGTGCAAAAAGGTCATACAATAAATTATGCGCATTAATTTGCAAGGTTTTTTCAATGATAAATATTATTTAAAATAATTTACATAAAATAAGATAAATTATTTTTAGCCATTGTTACATCTGATAAAATTTAATTAAAGTTTAAGTAATTAAACAAGAGTTACATTTTAAGTGCAAAAAGGTCAACTTCATTGCACCGTAGATCAGTAAGATGAACACTGACCCCCTATTTTCTCTGCGATTTTGAGTCACTCTATATGAGTACTTCTCAATAAATCCTTGATTTAACAAATTTCACGAGTGAAATACCTTAACATTTAAAGTTACATCACATGAATTGTACATGTTATTCTTAATAATTTTATCATTATAGTGATTTTACAATGATCAATCGCATCTCTGTATTATGGAGTTCAGTATTTCACAATAGCTGTTACTCTAGGGAAGATCGTTTTAAAATGCGAGGTTAAGGTTATACACAACGTAGTTTTAACGTCACTGGGTAATGCATGCAGAATTTTGCCTATGAACTTCTGATGGCACTGTAATTCAATTAAGAATATCTTTCAAAAATTTTAGTAGGTAAGGTACCTTGCGTATGTTCATAAAATGACTACAGTATAGGGGGGAAATAACTCGCGGTGTAAATATTAGCTATATTCACGGTGTTGATATTCTCTATATTCACGGTGTTAATGAATCCGTGAATTCAATTAACAGTGAATAAGTTTTCAATAGGTATAGATAAGAGAGGAAACTTCTGTTACATACCAATTCCGCGAATTCAAGAAACTACCACTGTGTCAGAGCAGAGGAAAACGTGAAAATTACAACCCGTGAAATTAATCCCCTATACAGTATTTATCATCATCCTGTCATATTTGAGAACCCTAAGTTAATCTTGACCTTGGCTAAAATTATCTTCAGTTAAGAATATTTGTAAAAAGTTTGATGCTTTGACTTACTTTGATTTTTCTCAAATCTTAAAACCTTCAAATTGATAACAATGATGTGAAATAATATGTCATTACGCGAGTATGTTAAGGAAGCATATAAATCTTTTTTCGGGAAATTTATACTTTTTAAAGAAAATTAACTTTGACAATTCATCAATTCCGCTGACAAATGTAAACTATTATTATTCATTGCATACAAATAAAAGAGCAACGACGTGCACCACAATCACGGCATCACGTGACTTCTATTACTAGCGAAAATTTCCTTAATAAATAAGCTAACAGAACAACAATACCCGAAGTTAAATAATTTCCTTGAGTAAATAATGTAGTTGAAAAACATCTATTGACGAGCAATAACAAACTCGTTAACATAAATTGGACATCACTTTTCAACAGTTAGCACTAATGCTCGCATATTTCATAGGTGTATGACCAACGTCATAAGCTGTCATACGGGGGACGTCAGTGTTTCACAAAATCGTCTTGTGTTTGTAGGGATTTTTCCAGATTTTCTTTGAGAATATCACAAAAGGTAAAACATAATTATTATCTTTACAACAATTAATTAGTTTAATGAATTGATTTTACAGATTAAATCTTTGACAATCAAGCAGGAGGATGAATAGAGATACAAGTACTGCGATTTCCTGTTCTCAAAAAGTAATCAAATGTGAAGCTTGTAACAACCCTCTCAAAAATTGTAATTTCTGTAACAGTTGTCAAGTCAGTCTATGCAAAGAATGTATAAACAAACGTGTTGAGAAGAACAAGTCAATAACCAATAATGAGATATGGATAATTTTTCCAGAATGTGAATATCACCCACATCATAGATGTGAGGGTCAATGTCAACAATGTGACGTCCCTGTGTGTATAAAATGTATCATCAAATCCCATCAAGGACACACCCTGTTAGATATAGAAAATATATACAATGACAAGAAAGAGGAAATCCAAAAGGAAACTCAAGAAATCAAATCCAAACTTCTCCCCAAATGCACGAAGTATAATGAAGATACAGATGGAGAAATAACCAAATCCATGGGAAAATATGTTGAACTCGAAAAAGAAATAGAGAAACAAAGAAAAGTTTGGCACCAAGAAGTAGATAACATCTTCAATAAACTGAGCTCCATAACCCAGTCCAAAAAAGTTGAACATCTGGATGTACTGAAATCACATCAAAGCAAACTCAAAAACCTGATTGCAGACATGAATGAAACAGTTAAAGAAAACCAGGAAATGCTTAAGTCGAACAAAGTGTCCCAGGTCACCAGCTTTAATTCCAGACTGAAAAAATACAGAGATATCCCTGAAGTCATTGATGTTTTTATTCCCTTACTGAAAACTAACGCAGTCCAAGAAAGAGAACTCGGTATCGAGCTAGGAGAATATAAAGCTAGACTGACATGGACATCTATGAAAAAGTTATTGGTAAAATCAAGAGTTATTGCAACGTTTCCTACTGGGGTCAAACCACTATTAAGAGTAGTTTGTGCTGGAGATGATAAATGTTGGGTTAGCGAAAAGGGAAGAACCATAAGATGTGTTGAAAAACTTGGATCCCTGCATGATACTGTAACACCAACATTAAACTCCTCCAGTGATAGCCCAGTACCAAAAGAAGAAGAACTAATTTGTATATCAGTGAATAAACAGGGAGATCTGATATACAGCGATTATAATAATAGAACTGTAAGCCTTTACAGACATGGGCGATCAGAGGTAGTGATCACCACACCAAATGATTGGAAACCAGCAGGACTGTGCACCACTAGATCAGGAGACATATTGGTCAATCTTTATAATGGAGATCAAAACAAGATTGTCCGATATCAGGGAGAGAAAGTCAAGCAGGAAATATTCAAAGACGAGAATGACAAACCAATCTATGGAAGTGGTGAATATATGTTGTTTGTAGCAGAGAACAGCAATGGAGATATCTGTGCCTCTGACCGTAATTCTGACGCTTTGGTAGTCTTGGACAAGACGGGAAGATTCCGATTCCAATACTATGGTACACCAGCCAAAAGGAAGGAAACATTTAATCCCAATGAGCTGGTGACAGATTCTCTGAGTCAGATTATTGTGACAGACTGGACCAACGACTGCCTACACATTATTGATCACGATGGACAGTTCCTGAGATGTGTAGATGACTGTGATCTATCTAGACCTCGCGGACTGAGTTTTGACAGTGAGGGGAAGTTGTGGGTGGGATTGTATGAAACAGGAGAAGTAAAGGTGATCCAGTATACGGAGTAAAGAGATAGTGAAAATCATCTGATGGTGATGGCGTAAAACGTGTACTGTTGCTAATAACATGTTTATTTTATTTTTATGATTATGATATAAATTATGATATTGATTTTCACTCCTCCATGGCACCTGATCCCACCTCTGATGTTTTGGAGGTCAGTGTTTGCTCTGCTCCTATTTTGAATTGTTCTATTTACTTCTGATCTTGAATACTACTAGTATTCGTTATCTCCATGTGTTTCACCCACTGAAATTTTAATGTCATACCCAGCCTTTTTTGTTATGAATTATCCACGGGAAAAGGTTACAAATCACTTACCGATTCATTGCAATGTGAACACTTACTATCTCAGAATAGGAAAGATATGTGGTCAATAAAACTTTCTCTGATAAAAAAAAATCAAATTCACTATTGGACGTGAACATACATGTTTTCATCTGATTATAAGTCCTAAATTATATGATAATGCATATAATATATGACATTGGTTTAACCGTTTGTCGATCATTGATAATACTCTTAATTAGTAACCGTGTTTAATACTAGAGGCTAAAGAATTGCTATAACGATCTTGCTACTTTAATAGTATAATTCTTTGAAGTCAAGTGAGAAATCAAAGACTGAAAAATCGTTAAAGGCGTGTATCTCCACCACTGTATTTGTTTAGACTACCACTGATTTCAAGAATATTTGGTCACTCAAAGTTTGCAAGTATACTGTTAATTCCTTATTTTTCACGAGTACTTATTATCGCGAAATGGCTCTTAAACGGCAAATCGCGAGAACAATAATTCGCTAATAAACGGTTGATTAACAGCATTTACATGGATTTCAGCACCCTTAAAATGAAAGCGAGTATGTATATTAATGGACATTATTATTAATACAAAATTAGCAGTGACCTAATAATAAATCTTTATGATAGACGCCATGACCATTTTTTTCAATCGTCAACGAAACCTTAATTATGTGGCAAAATACACTGTACCCTTATCGTCTGCATATGGGATTTATGTCTCTCAGTTGATTGTTACGCAAGAGCATACACTAAGCATGAACAATTTCTAAAACGAGGCAAACTATTGACAGCAAGGTGTGAAACAAAATTATCAACAGTACCATAAATATCCATCATTTCAAAAGGTCTGTAGTGGATGCCTTGATCTTGTCAGAAAATGCAATCCATCAATGAGTCAAATGCTGACTGAGATTGTCATACTGATTAGTAGGTCATTATTGAATTGTTAACGGATATTTTCGATTTCCCCTGATTATCAAAATTGGTACTCGGTGCGTGTGACCAGATTATGATCTGATCTGAGGATGCTTACTCATCCATGGCACATGTTTACGGATTTTTCCGTTATATCCTGATCATGATAAAGAGCACACGGAGGGTGTGACCGGTCGACAAAGGATGTTCACTCTTCCAAAGCACCTGATCCCACTTCTGATGTACAAAGGTCCGCGTTTGCTTTGCTCCTATTTTGTATTGTTTTAATGGACTTTTAAACTTAAATACTGTTCGTATAATTGTGTTTGCTTCATGTTGTACATATCTTTTTAAAAAGTTATAAATAAAGATCTACAATATTCACTGGTATTTTAGTTTAAGTTAAAAATTAAGATCATGGAGTAAATCAAATCAATGGGACATACTAATGAAAGCTTTCAAATTGTACATGCATGTAATACAAGAGCACCTCGTATTTGTGCCTCATATATAAATAACTAAGAAATGAAAAATTTGAGATACTTGACATTTGGCGTGTATGCAATAAAAATCTATATCTTTTAGAGTCAATGAACATTTGAAAACAATGAACAAAAGCTCAAATCATCTAATAATTATAATCTATCAAATATTGAGGAAGAACTGATACGTTTTTGTTCCTAGTAAGTTAGTTTTCATAACGGCCTAGAATTATTTTTCCAGGCTTCTGCCCAAGCAACAAAAAAAAATCAATGAAGTGATTTGGGATATAAATATTGATCTTCATCAGTATTACAGAACTCGTTTTCCCCGAAAATAGGAAATTAATGTATTCTACTGTCATATTAAAGGATAAGTAGAGAAAAATCAGAACCATTTATCATTTTATTTGTTTTAATTTTTTTTCTTAGTTTTTGACAAATTGAACAAAATTTGTTTTTACACGCTGGATGCATGCATGCAGTATGTGGTACCACATTATGAGTAAACACCATATTCCATCTGATGTTGTGGTACTGAATTTTGACAAGATAAATGATTTTAAATAAGTTTCATGTAACTGACTGAAATATTTTATCAATCAGTAATTAGGAAAACAACCTCTGGGTTTTTGGTTCATTTCGAAGTCCGTGAATAAACAGCTTAAAGATCAAGGATTTATCATAATATAGGATCAGAGATGAGGTTAGGGCATGGTGCAGCAAACATCACCGAACAGACACAAATGGAAGTACAAGCAGCAGGCCATGCATGATCAAATCACAGACAGGATAATGTAAAAATATATCAGGTCCTTTGATACAGGGTGTTGGAAAAATACTTTTTTCTCAATAAGGATATGGAAATAACGAACAGTATTCAATCTCAACGTCCATTAAACAAATATACAAAACAAGAGCAGAGCAAACACGGACCTCCGAAACATCAGAGGTGGGATCAGGTGCCATGGAGGAGTAAGCATCCCCTGCTGACCGGTCACACCCGCCGTGTGCTCATTGTCATAATCAGGAAATAACGGAAAAAAACCGTAGTCAATTCAGTGTATAAATAATGGACTAACAATTGGTATGAAAAACGTCAGTCAGCATTTCATTCAATGATAAATTGTATTTGCTGACAAGGTCATTGTATCGACCATAGAATTTACGAAATGATGACTTTAAACGAGACTGTTGATATTCTTGTTTCATCAACTTGCTTGTCAATAATTTACCTCGTTTAAGAAATTGTTCATACGTAGAGCATGCTCTTGCGTATCGAATCAACTGAGATATAAATACTCCGTATGCAGGTGATGAAGGTATATTGCTGCATAAGTAAGGGAAGTTGACGATAGAAAAGTTAAAGTCATCACGTTTATCATATAGCTTGGTTGTTAGATTACCATTTGTGTCTTTTTCAAGTAAAATATCCAAGTATGAAGCAGATGTGTTGGACTCTGTGGTATCTTTTATCTCAAGCTCACCAGGATATATCGTGTCGACGTAGGAATGGAAATTATCATTATTAATTGACAATACGTCGTCGATATATCTAAATGTCGAGTTGAAGGCCACAGCAAGTGTTTTTTTCTTTTCACGCAAAAGATTTTGCATAAATTCTGCTTCATATGAATATAAAAATAAGTCTGCTAATAACGGAGCGCAATTTGTACCCATGGGAATTCCAATAGATTGTTGGAATACCTGGTCTCCAAAAACCACATAGATATTGTCAATCAGAAACTCAAGCATCTTCTTGATGTCAACTTCAGAGTACTTATGTGTACAATCAGAATCTGTTTTAACAAAATAATTTTTCAAATGACCAATGACGAGGTAAGTAAACTTACGAGTTCCATTTTTGTTGAAGAAGCAGCTGTCAATGATATCAAAAAGCCTGGATTTTAATTTGTCGTGCGGAATTGTTGTGTATAAAGTTGAAAAGTCGTAAGTTTTTATGCTGTTGATTTTTGTAAAGTCTTGTGATTTCAAATTGTCCAAAAGTTCTTTAGAATTTTTAAGTATCCACATCTGATTTACACCACTTCTTGAATATATAGTTGTACAGTACTCTTGAAGTTTTTCCTTCACTACTGTCAATATTTTAGTGAGAAGTAACGAAAGAGGCTTGGTTGAACATTTACTGGAACCTGCAATGTATCTTTGTTTGTAAGGATTCTTATGAAGTTTCGGAATCCAATATATATAAGGTAGTTCAAATTCATTTTGGCTCTGTGGAATATTAAAAGTATTCAAAACTGACAGGTGATTTTGAAGGATTTCTTCCTTAGAAAGAGTAGTATATGTATAAGTAGGATTACCACTCGTAGAATTCAATATTATGTCTTGATTTGCTTACGTATTTCCATTATATCACAACAATGTATATTGTAAATGCATTGCCCAATTTTCGGCTGTAAACTGAGTTTAGTATGCTTCAACAATAGCTCAGTTTTGTATGCTACTTTTGTAAACTACTAAAGTATGGCATCTAGGAATATTGGTTCAATATCGAAGTTTAAGAATGTGCTATATTTTCATAATATAAGTTACCAGGTAGCACAATGATTAAAACGTTTCTAAACATTATGATTTTAAATCATCTTTTTGTTTCGATTTCTAACATATTTTAAAATTCGATAATCGATTAATTTTTAGGAAGCACAGCTTTCGTTGGCATGCTATTGGCTATACATGCATACAATATTGGTTATTTATCATACCAACAGTTACGTGCATTTGAAAGAAAACATTATTGCCTGTTTAACTAGCTCATAAATAGAAACAGTTCGAATTTTAGTTACTTTGCCGTGTTTTATATTGACGATGAAAGTATTTAAAGTTTGTCTCATCTTTTTACTATTTACGTTGACAAAAGGAAGGTCTCTGAAGCAAGCCTATGACAGTTTACTATGGGGTAGGCGGTTTGTGGGGAGGTTACTGACCACTATTGTTCAGGTCAGTCCGTTGGACTGTGCAGAAGAATGTCTGGTCCGTCCTGGCTGTCTGTCCTTTAACTACAGACGGGCTGCTATATTCTGTGAATTGAACTATGAGAATGACAGCACTACTAGTACTGATACAAACCTGAATCAAGGTTATGAAAGTACTGAAAAGCGGTTAGCATGCTTTCATCGAATATGTACAGTGTACAATAACAAGAAACGCATTGTATCATGATATTACAGTAGGCATGCATATCTTTTTCCAGTGTCATCAGCGAAGAAGCAGACACACTGAATTTTGTAATACTTAACTAAATGGTATAACCAATAACATCCCAGACTGATATCACAAATGTTTGTTTCAAAATATCAACCTGAGATTTTCAGTTTGAAAGACAGTTCAATTTAAAAAAAAATTCTCCCAAATTGTCTCCATTGGTGGCGTCCAAAAGTGCTCAGAACGAAAAAAAATTATGTGGATGTTGCAAATTTAATTGGCTTTCATGC